GAGACACACCACCCCCTTTCCTATTCTGGCATTGGACAAGCATATCTTTGGCGATCTCCTTTTGCGGGCTATTGCACTGAGGCATTGTTGATTCTGGAGAGAGTTATACCTCCAGGTCAGTGACAAAGAGCTCAGTAAAGCCCTGTGGAACAGGTTGGGAGGTCAGACTGAAGGTGAACAGAGCAAACCATACTAACCCAATAAGCTTTCTTGCAAAGACCCATCATGAAGCAAAACCATGGGAGTAGCTAGTTATGGCTCAGAAAAGCCCATGGCTTCTCAAGCTGCAGGCCCACAGTCCAGATTGCCTCCAACCACACATACTACATAGGAGAAGGTGAAAAACCTCAGCACCCAGAGCAACTGTTCAGTGCTGTAACAGCGCATGCGTGCATGTGCAATCCTTTTCTGAGCTTCCACCTCACACTCTGAGATTAGCATAAAGGACTTCTAGCAACGTGCATAGCTACACATGCAGTGAGTCATCATGGGAACAACGCATTATCATCAGCCCACAGTCTTTCAAATATAAATTGTTTGTAAAGCTGATTTTAAACAGTCTGCAAATATTTGCAGAGAAGAGAACATTTACAAGCCCATCTACATCCTTGGGCAACTGGCCAGGGTGCGCAGAGGGGCTTGGGAATGCTCATGGGGACACAAAATATTTTTCTGTGTGTCTTATAGGTTGTAACTGTGGCAGTCCTCTTCTTTTTTCAGCCTACTTGCCTGTGATTAGATTTAAGCCATAGCAGGTGGCTGTCATGGCTTAAATGGGTTTTATGTCACTGATGACATCAAACCCATGTCCAGGGCCACATGCCCCTTCTGCTCAGAACTTCCCTGTTGAGCTAGTGTTGCATGCAAGAGGTCTGAAGCCGAACAAAATACTGGGAGATCACGTGCAGGTCAAAAGACTCAGCCCTTTTCTCTACCCACCTAGAAAGAACTAGGGAAAAGTGTTCCCATGTCTTAGCCAACAGGACTTTACACACTTGGATCTAAAATGAGTTGCTATGCAATGAGAATTTAAAAAAGCAGACAGGGGGCGGGGGAGAGAGAGAGAAGTGCAGACAAGCTCCTACTAGCCTGGTCTGGACATATCACAAGTTGAACTCCTTCACTTTGCATGGCAGTACAACTGGGAAAACTACCATGGGAGCAGTGTGTACCATCAGAACCAAAGATTCTTCCTTTAGTGCCAAAAACTTGGACTTTTTTGTCTCGTTAGCACTAGCCGTCCAACATGGAAGAAGGGGGACTGTAGTTAACTTCTGTTTGTGAATCATCAGATTAGTCTGTAAATTCTGAACGCAAGGGAAAATATCGCCCTGCATCATTTGTAGATTCATAAATTGTAAGGCCGAAGGGACCTCGGAAGATTGTTGGGTCCAGCCCCATGCACCAAGCAGGAAAGACAACTGGGGGTCAGGTAACCCCAGCACGGTGACTGTCTAGTCTCCTCTTAACTGCCTAATCTCCTCCATGCTTATGATACACCATTTTTCACATATGAAAAAGGATGAAAAGGCATTTGTGTTGACCAGCAATTAGGAAGATGAAGCCAACTGAACAACTATGAGCTACAATCATGAAGAAACAAATGGGGAACCCTGCTTGGCTAGTGCTTTAATAAAGAAGTCTGGATTTTGGGGTCAGTCAAGGTTGTAGGGCTGCCACTTGTCCTCGCTGGGCAGGGGCTTCTCAGTGGGTGCTTACATAAGTTACATTTTCTGTGCGATCAGACCCCTGAAAGCACTCTGCAGATGTGACATCACACACGTGCACGGCTGCAGGGTGCTTTTAAAATAACCGATTGCACAAAACATTAGCCCTGGTCAAATGAGGTATTAGATGAAGGCACTCTAAACCAGAGCGTCTTAGGGAACTTGTGCTCCCTCCAGAGTTAATTTTTCATGTTTTGCGGGGCTGTCAGTGACAGAGGAAGGGAAGGGGAAGGAGCAGCATGGAGCTACCAGCTGGGGGAAGGAGCTGGGGGTGCAGGGTGCAGTGGAAAGGAGCCCCCTCACCTAGCAAGCCTGGCCTGGCTCCCCCAAATACCTCAGCCAGGGATGCATGATAACTGCTTAGCTTAGTTTAACTCATAGTAACTTGTTCATGTGCCCATGCCCTCAGCCAAGTGAGTGACACTGGCAGGGTCTCCCTGGTCCCAGTGATGTGTGCAATGCAGAAGAACAAGGCTAAGTTCCCATCACAGACACAGTCTGCAGCTAAGATACACTTGGAAATGTTAACCTTGCTTGTGTCCCTCTGACTTTTCATTTCCTGGTCAACCTGTACCACAACCTCGATTTGCCAACACTGAATGTTATCTACGAGCAAGGCTTTTACCGCAAGGAGCCAGAAATGCTGGCGACCACTGCTGCAACGATGAGCTCTTCACTCAAGTTTCTGTTGAGATCTGAAACGGATGAGGGCTGTGATATTTCATGCTCGTTGTTCCCAAGTTAACCTTTCACCTCTGGGCCTTGGCTCTTCAAATTTTCCCCAGCTGTGATGAGCTGGAAATGAAATTACTCTGACAGCCATAAAAGGTCACCTGTAGAAACAACATGTTTGTCTGGGCTCAATGTCTTACCTGCCATACCTACTATTTATTGCTGCATTAATGCATCCAAAGAACAAACAAATCTCAGATTAATCACTGCAGTGGAAAGCTAGAGCTACCTCTGAAGAGTCAGTCTGAACTGAGTCCTGCCCCTCACCACATGACTTGCAGAACCAGATGCTTCCTTCTGCGTAGACAAGAACAGTTGGTGATTTTACATAATTTTCGGGGATGCCTTCTGGACATCTGTGATCTAGACATTTGAAGATAAATTCCCCACTGTTGCTATTAGCAAACATCCACAGCTAAAGGCTTTTGGACCCTCAAGACAGTAACATGCGCAATGTACAATGAAGTTTGAACACGCGTTAGATGTTTGGTCTCTGACAAGTAGTAATATTTAGTGTTTAACTCCCGGAGACAACTCCATCTCCACTCATTGCCAGAACCCTGCTGTGCGCTATTACTCCGACAGATTTTTGCTGGACTCTTGTTTTGCTTGAGTAGTGAAGGTCAGCAAGTGCAATGGCACATCAGTCTGCCTGTTGATCGTATCAACACTGATGAACTTGTTGGGGAGAGTCAGCCCCCAAGGGTGTTGCTCCGGTTTGTCAGTGGTTGGCCATAATCTGTAGCATCCAATTTATCTTTTCAGCGTCTGGGCTAGATCAGCCTCCAACGCAGCAGCAAAGCAATTCTCCAGCATCCCCCAACAGCATGGCAAGAAAAAGGGTAAATGAAGCTTTCACCAAAAGCTTGTGTCTCGCTCCAGCAAATTTATGAGACCTCAGTTATCTGTGTGTGTGCATGTGTGTGTGTGTGTAAATAAGTAAATAAATAAACACTGTGCACACATTCATACACATTCACATGCATTTTACAGACATGTGAAGTATAAAGGTTGTGTCAGCATAAGCTGGGAAAGGTCCATTATCTCACGAATGGGAAAGCCATCAGGAAGTTAAATCCTTGCCAGTTCAAATGTGCAGTCCTTCAAACAGACCTTCCTTCCCATAGAAACAGCCTTGTATCTGCATGAAACCGTGATCTCCGCTCAAGCCATTACGTGCTTTTCTGCTGCAGCAGGTGGCCTCTGCCTCCCGGTTTGTAGCTGTAGCACATTAAAGCATGTACTGCAATTGTCTTCACTACCACAGGCCTTTTCCTAACTCACTCAATGCTGGATTGAGCTAGGTTTCAAGAACCCCGTCCGGGGAAATGCTGTTACAAGGCTGGGGAATATTTAGGACATCTGATGTAATAAACAAAAATAACCAGTGGCACGTGTATTCTTTCCAGGCATGATTTATTGAAAACACACCAAATTGTTAGTTATCCTACACACCTGGTTGCTAACAAGCAGTCTACTTGTCTGTGTTACAGAAAGTTCCTATAATAATACATTCTGTCATGGTAACTTTTGTTCTATGAAAAGCATAATCCACCTTTTTTTTTCCCTTCTTAACTCTTAAAATCAAACCATTCTACATTTCAGTTTATAGTACAGTGTAAATACAATGCAAAAACCCACCAGTCTAAACTACAGAGATAATGTTGAGTAGTATTACAGAAAACACATTGGTGATTTGTTTTTTGTTGGTTTTTTTTAATTATTTTTTTTATTTTCCTACCATGAAAATTTTAAGGCACATGATAGTTACAAACACATTAGCTACTAATTACCAGTAAGCTTCTTAGTCTAGTTTTGTTGTTGTTTTTAACGATGATATCCTCTGCCAGGATGGCAGGCTTTGCAGTCGATGCTCCTTCCTCCTCATCACCGTGAGATCGCACTTCTGAACATCCTACCCCAATGGAAAATTTAAGATAGAAAAAAAAAAGGTTCATAATACCTTCCCTTAATACACTAGATTAGTTACTGTACCGGTAATCAGAGACAACCTCTGTGAAAGGTAGGGAAACACCAGATTTTAGGAGCATCGAAGTGAAGAGACTTTGCCAGAAACTATACATATATAAACACCGTCAGGAGTATGTGAGAGAGACCCAACCCCCAATGCACAAAAAAGTATGGGCTCAAGATATTGGCACGTTATGGTTTTCACAGAAAGAGTGAGGACATGAGCAGTTTTACAGACAGAAGGTATTAGAACCAGCTCTCATTAGTACATCCACTGGCCCTGGAAGCTTTGCCTACTCTATCTAGGGTTTTATAATGTGCTCATCTTTCATTGGTAGCTGAGCCAAAACCACACAATAAGCTGCAGGTAACTAATGAAAGGGGCTAACTTCGTCCTAAAGCTCCAGGAGTTGCAGCAGGATGAAAAAGTACTTTGCATGCCACACTTCACCTTTCTCATCAGCACTGGCAGGAGCCGACTACATTGGTGGAAGCAAACGTGCACACCACGGCTTTCATGAGTCTCCCTGTCCTGGCGCCAAACCAGGCCCTTTCATGTTGCTTCAACAGCGCTAAGGAGACACACAGTTGCTTTGAGAAGCATTGGGGGGATCCGTGGGTAGCCAAAAGACAGCGCAGCTAGGTCTATGCCACGTGCTGGAAGCAGTATCCCTGGGTAGACGAAGCAGAGCTGGGGCAAGCAAGTGGTGTGTCTGCAACACAATGTGCTCCATGAACCTACAGCTGGAAAAGATGCCCCAAGGGACTGTTCCAGTCAGTGTCAGCAACAGCAGTCCTGGAAATGATCCAAATCCTGGCAGCCAGGGCTGGACTCACACGTGGCTAAGCGCTTCGGGAACAGCACACTAGAAAAACAGCTCGGAGCCTTGCCTTTGCCCACCCCTCCTGGATCCTGCACTGAGCACAGGCAGCCAGACCCGGGGACAGGAGCCTGCGAGTGCAGCAACCTTCTGGCTCCCTACAGCCACTGCTCAAACGTGCAGCGGGCAAAACTACAACATGGCAGCTCCAGCAGTGCTCGGTGACCAACTCTGTGGTCTCTTGTCCCCTCCCCGCCTTGGAGACTCAGGACATACCCCACATTATCACAGCCTTTGCTTGGGCAGAAGGGCTCCCTCCTGCTTTTGCTCAGCAAGAAACCCGCATCCAGTATTCTGCTTGCTGCTCCATACACACTCCCCGCTGTAACCTGTGGTGCCTTTTCAACCCCTCACACCTCTCTCTGGCCCGATGCCCTCCACGGGCCACGCTGCCGGAGGCTGGAATGGGTGGGAAGGCAGCGAGAGGCTGCGCACTCCATCACGAGCCCCGGAGGAACCAAATACCTACACCGGGGACACTAGATTTGCTTGACATCAGGCCTGTTTCTTGCACATGCTGCTATGTAATCACATACCCTCCTTTCCATGCAAAACCAACTAAAACATCCACTGCTGTTTTCATCCGCATCCCATCACTTCTCAAGTGTGGCCCATCCATACTTGGCGGGGAACAGCGAGAGTCATAACCACACACGTTCTGACAGGGCCAGTACTGTAGGGACTTACTGGCCAGCCACAGCTGCCAAAAATCTAGCCTGCCCCAGTACATTTCTGTGAGTAAATGTCCCTGCGACCTGGCCTGGTGAGCCAGTCGCTGCAATGGGCATTGCCTGTCCTGTGCGGCCCTGATCCAAGGTGATGACAGGGCAGAACAACAGAGTCCCTCTGACTCGGCCTCTGGCTGGTGGGAGTGCGTGCGATTCAGCCCTAGGACCTGCCTCCCCACTCAGCTGTCTAAGGAACGGCTTGGGGACAAAAATGCAATTTACACCGGTCAGTTCTTGTTATTGCTGCATGTCCCGAGTGAAGCTTTGCTATGCCGAGCGTGGACAAGCCACGTGACGCCCGTGAGCAGTCCTGCCACTCCCAGCTGACGTTCCCCCTTTGGGCAGCCGTAGCAGTGACTTCGGAAACAAACAGGAGACAAAAGGAAAGAGCAACCTGTGCTAATGGTTCTCAGAAGCTGGTCTCATCTCTTCTCATCTACGGGGGTGGGTCTGATGGCAACAGAAAGGACCTTTTGGGGGCTAACTCTGCTTCTCAAAGGCCCCGCAGTGGTTTTCATTTGGCCCATCACTGAGAGAAAAGGCCAGCTGCCCAACTTGGCTTCTGATCTCGAGGCTGAATGTCCCCGTAGCGTGTGGCTGTTTCACTTTGGGACTTGCTCTGGGTAGGAGTTCATGCGAGTTTAATGGCCTCTGGGTCCCTCCCCTGGCCCAGTCCCTGCAGCCGTGGCTCTCATGCCAAATTCTCTGCTCCCCTCTTGCTGGCTCTTGGATTACAGTACGATTAGATGCTGTAAAGTCTTATCAGAAAAGCTTAAGAGAGTCAGCTTATGCTTTTCAATGATCTCCTGCTCAGACTCCTTTGGTAAATACCGTGATAAAAGCAACCTGGGACTTGCAGATCGCAGGGCCCCTCTGTCGACCCTCCCTTACGCAGCGCTAATAAGCTACAAAGCAAGTTCTGTTGCTAACTGCTGGAGAAAGTGTTTAAAAAAATCCTTTGATATACAAAAACAATACACCAAGTACATAAAAACAAAAGTGTAGAAAACTCTTCTGCCTAACAGCCGTGTTAAAAGAGTCTCCGCTTATCGGCAGGACAAGTATGAAAAGAGCACCATTGTTAGAATATACAGTAAAACTAGGTATCTGGTTTCACTCGCCACACTTTATGCCTCGGTGTGGAAAAATGCGTCCCCAGTTCCAATCCAAAGAGTTACAGATGACTCTCACTTTGCTTCCCCAGACCTGCTAAGCATCTTTGGCCCAACATGACTCTCACGAAGGTAAAAGTAACCAGTCACTGCAATCTCTTTGCTCCCAGCAACTTCACTGCCCTCAGGACCCAGGAGCCACCCTCCCATACGTAGGCTGACGATGGGGAGTCGGGGGAAAAATTCACGTACCGGTCATTTTAACTGCTGACAGCTTCTGGCATCGGTCTTTCCCTGAATCAACAGAAATGCTTCCTTCTCCTGCAAACTACTTTACATGGTTTTGGCAACCTATCCTCTGCACAACAATATATATATATTTATATATATTTATTTATTTATATATATGTATTCATGTCAAATTTTATTATACTCAAGAAGATACAAAGCTCTTGACGCTTGCTTTTTTTTAGTTTTTAAAATTTTTTTTTTTTACAAAAAATGTAGACGCTTACTATTACAGTAATATTTTTAGGGTTTTATGTCTGGGGGGGGTTTTGTTCTTTTTTTTTTTGGTTTGTTTTGTTTTTTTATTCTTTTTTCATTTTTAAATTACAAAGGAAAACAGCAGGCACTGAAAACCCCAAATTAAGTTGGCTTGATTCAAAAATGTGCTTTCCAGTCACACTGGCTTTAGGAGCTTGTCAGAGTAAACGTAGCAACCGACCAACAACAGGAACTCAACAAACAAAGCAGAAAGCGCCCACCACTACTTGAAAGAGAGAGTAGATTCCCGTTGTCCTCTGTCACCCTCCCTGGATCAGCAACCCAAGGAGGCCAAAGATTTGCATTTAGCACATTGCATCACCAGATACCGAACATGCAAAATGAGTCCTTGTCGGGTGAACAGTCTCCCCAATGCAGACAGCCCACCGGCCTACTAGCTGCTTGAAGCAGACTCTCTGCAGCCAGTTGAGTGTCACCCTGACCGACATGAGCACAACCTCAAAATGAAACAAATAGTACAAAACCATGATGGTGATGATTTTTTCTGGGAAAAAATACAGTTCCCTTTGTAGTACTCTTCAAGATCTACAGCCAAAACCAAACATGGATCCCATAGCAATCATGTCTGTTATTAAAATATAAAGGAAGGAACCATCTAAAGCTTCCAGCGCGTTCCCATTTCACCTCCCTAAATGAGGAAACAAGCTTCCGTTTCTCTCCCAAGTGTTTCCAGCTATGGCAAAGAAATGATATTAAGGATTCAATCACCATTAACCCAACATTGATACACTTCAAAATAAAAACTCCTTACTGTGAACATCAGGAACAGAAAAGATAAACAGTCAGCCAGCTCCATTTCTTAGCATAGTTTTCTGAATTAGGGACAGTGAAAACTTCAATGAACTGTTTACATATGTGGAAGTAAAAACAGAGCCATTGCAGAGTTCAAAAGGCAGAAGTATTGTACACCAGATAATAATGATAATATAGCACAGTGTGATATCGCTTAGTCTAATAGCAGATTATACAGCTTGCATCAATTTCTCTCCAGTTCATTCAACCAGCATTTAATAGTTTCTGTTTTATTTTTCTCTTTCATTAAAATCCAACAAACCCAACTCCACATTCCTGTACTTCTTGTGGAAAAAACAAAAAACAGAACACGACCTCAATATTAGTCAAAAACCCCTAAATAAAATGTTTAAAAATTTAAATTCACAGTTCAAAAACAAAAAACCCCAAAAGAAAAGTGCTATTGTCTCCACGGCTACACCTAAGAGAGATTTCAGATATTCTGCAGTTCCTCTTTCACTTGCAAAGTCATCCTTTTCCCCATCGCGTGACCTTCTCTTCTCATGCTCGGCACCACCATCAAGAGTCATCTGAGAACCTAACCAGTTAGACGTAAGCTTGGATTCTTTGTCTGTCGTCTTCGAGGGGGCGGGAGGTGGGGGCAGGGGGCGGCTATGTCTGATGGGAATATAACTGAGTTTTAAAAGAGCAAATTGTCTTGCTGTAAGGCATGGTGCTCCAGGGTTGGCTGATGGCAGTCGGCTGCGTTTTCTCCCCACACCCTCCTAGAATCTGCAGACTGTTCAATGATGCAGCGCCCTCTGAATCTGAATGGCAGTGGTGATATATGAGATCCTCTGTGTTGGTTCAAATATTTTTCCCCTCGATTAAAAAAAAAAAAAGGTTGTTGGACTCTAGCCCTGCAAAATAAAGGCAGAGCTGATTAATAGGTGAATTTAATACACCCGTGTCTGCAAGCTCCAGCACAGGAGTATGAACAAAGGCAACACAAGGCTTGGAAGCTACAAAGGCCCATCCAATGCCAGAGATCCTTAATGGGGAGGCACTGGGGAAAAAAGGAACATTTAATTAAAAACAGCCACCCCCCACACCAATACCTTCTCTCCTTTGTGGGAACACATGGAACTACTAGGCCTGGTCAAGGGCTTAAATCTCAGGCATTTGGAGCAAGAGATTGTGATTTCCTAGTACAACATGAAGCCCTGCAAGACAGCCTGGCTGGAGGACTACTGCGACAGAAATACTGAATATTCAACAGCAACACTAGTGCTCCCTGAGCTTCACTCACTCAGCAGCGAGGTGGGGTGGATTTTCAGTGCAGCGCACAAGATGCACAAACACCAGGAGCCGTGTGTCTTCCCTATGCAGGGGTGATTTTCACCTTTGCAATGGGAACTTCTTTTGCGTAAGGTCGGAGGATGCCTAATGTGCCACGTGGGGAAGTGCCACCACCCAAAACTGCTGGCCTCGGAGGCCCGAAGGAGGTGGAGTGGTTTCATGCTCTGGCCTTTCACCTTGAGGGAGCTGGGCTCAAGTCAAGTGAGGAACCGTGATGGTCACACTGCAGCTCCTTCTAGCATGGGCGAGGCTGGCCCATGGGAACGGTGTCGCTCCTCAGGACCGAAGCAGCAGAGGCAAAGGGCTGGGAGCGGCTTTGGAGGATGCCGCAGCATTCGGTTCCCTGATGCCCATTTAACGGCAAGTCAGAGATTGCCTTTCCTCACCCGTTTCAGGTCTCAGAAGAGGAACAACGCGAGCCTAAATTTGAGGCTTCAAAGATTCAGACTCCAAAGCTCCCTGCTAAAAGTCACCAGGAGGCTGTGACATGCAGAGGCGCACATTGTCGCTGGGGGTTATTGGTGTTACCGAGTTGCTCTATCAGCTATGCTGGAGCTCCCTGCCACTGTGCGCACTCCCTGCGGAGGCATGAGGGGCACGTGCCCCCCTGGATTTGTGCGTGGGATGAAGGCGGGCTACCCGCTGTGGGCTCAGGGTCAGGGGCTCTGCCAGCCTCTTCCTGGCAGGGGGGCTGGACCAGGGCTGGGTTCAGGGTACGCGATGGTGGTGCTGGGAGGGGTAGCTATGGGGGAGCTATGGGGAATTTTGGGTGGCTATAGCTCCCCAATCCCCCTGTAGAGAAGTGCCACAAGCAAGAGCGGTGCTAGGGCAGCTGGGAGGCGGGGGGATATTGCCACCCCAAAATTCCCTGTAGCCCCCGCATAGCCACCCCTCCCAGCACCTGCCCTGTACAGGTGAGTCCACTCTAAGCTCAGCCCTCCCACCAGGAAGAGGCCGGCGCAGCCCCTGGCCCTGAGCCCACCCTCCCCCTGCCCACATATCTGTAGGGGCACATGCTCCCCCAGGGATGCGCACAGCAGTGGGAAGCCAACCTCCCTCCCAACCTGCCCTGTTCCATCCCACTTCCAGCCCCGGGGTCCCATGCACCACCCTGGCTGGGCAACACCTGCCCTTGCCCCACTCCCTCGCTTCCTCACCGTGGGGGCCTCGATTTCCCCCCACAGATTTACCGGCCGGATGCTGCTCTCCAAGCACCCTGCTGTAGTTCTGGCTGCATGCACATGGCATTTATTGGTGACATTAATTGGCTACAGCTGCCAAAAATAGACAATAGCCAATAATGTTAACTTTCCTTTTATTGGTGCCAATCCGATATGCAACGATGGATCTGTCAGTGCTTCTCTAAAGGGGGCCCACAATTTTGTTTTTGCCTGGGGCCCCAATAATCTTAATCCGCCTCCTAATGCCTCTTTCTCTGGACTGGGGTTTCCTCCCTGCTGATGAATATAATTTCCAGGTGGAATAATGTCTGCAATGCTAGACCTGGGAACAGCAGGTGCTCAGCATGTCTGGAAATCAGGCCTTAACGGGCTGGGCTCTCCAGCATTTGATAGGAGAAGCACATGGTATATCCATCACAGTCCTTAAAGATCCTTCTTTCAGCACGGCCAGCAGCACTCTCTGCAGCTCTACATACAACGCTACATCTGACGGGTGACAGACTGGGTCCAGCACAGCAGCAGGAGGCATTAGCAGCAGCACAAGGGAGAAAGGTGGGCATGTTTTTAAGGAAGTTGACATAGGAAGAAGACAAACAAGGGGACAAAACAGCTTTCTTGAGCTGCGGAGGAAGAGGAGGAGCTGGAGGTGGGAAGTGTGGCTCTACTTTTAGTTGAGTGAATGAGGTCCTCCCCTTGGAGGAATTACTGCGTGCACAGCCACCGGCCTTCCTGCACACAGGCAGGGCCATGCAATTCCCAGGAGCCTCAGGGGAGAGCCAGAAATAGTCAGGATGTGCTTTGCCTTGGGTCTCAGGCTAAAAACTCATGATGATTCGCTGGGGGAGGGGGCGCGGGGAATGGAGGAGAAACAATTGGAGACATTTTAGATCATCCAGGAAAATGCTATTCAGCTTCATTCCCATGGCCTAATAGCACAGATCCTTCACATTTCAGTTGACAGCCCATCGTTCAGGATATTAATTCGCTGTCTGGTTATTTGACAGGTTATTATTTAATCAAATGGCAGCGTTTTATTGTGTTTCATTATAAGCACACTGTGAAACAAACACCACCCTTATTCTAATGCATTTTCGTTTGCCTAAAAGGAACTAGTTAGCCGTTAGCCTTGGAGAGAGTCCATAGCAATTCAGATCATGCACAATGAGACAAGTTAATCACTAGCACCAATTACCATTAAAAGGACCTACCATGCATGCAAATTAGACCCAGGAGTCAACAGGCTGGGGTTTAATGTCACGGGCATCCACCAGATTCACCGAAGCCCTGTTACTCCTGTTAATGTTTTTCCTATTTGTGTCATTCTGCAGCAAACAGGGTGAGGAGTTAAAGGCAAAACAGAGCGGATTAATCAATCAAACAAACAAACAAACAAACCAACCAACCAACCAGTCAGCTCAAAAGATCGCGAGGAAGAATTAGTGGACAGAGAAAGAAACAAATTCGGCCAAGGCGTGCTGCTCCACAGGCGCTGACAGAAGCATTCGCTAGCTCCAGGACAGCCACGCGTCACACTTCATTGCCATCATTTTTCACACGTCTTAGCCAGTCTTGCAGCTCAGAGCCACGGTTCCTGGATGGTTCACAAGCTAGAAATCGGCACGCACATCTGACAGGACACTGCCTGCCTACACTTTGCCCAACACCAAGGGCTGCTTTGACAACATGCCAGAAGCCTCAGGGCAGCTCCTCAGGGGGCTAGAAAAGACCGAATTTGGCCTGTCCTCCCTCTTTAGTAGGGCGGAGGCATAGCCGGAGGAGGAGACAGGGCTTTCTGATCATGATGGAGCATGGCTTATTGGAATCGCTCGTCTCTGCGGGTTGCACTTCACTCTTTGAGAGAGAGGACGGCAGCCCTGGGCTGCACTGCACAACTCTGCGGGCTGAGTTTGGCTGCCTCTGTGTAGGATGGAGAAGTGATAACCATCTGTTAATTCTCTCCCCCCCTGGCTAGCCTAATTGGCAGGTGGGTAATTAGTAATTACCCACCTGCCAACTTTCTTCAGAAAGAAGTGTTTTCTGTTGGCTCTGAGCAAAGAGCCCCCTACTCCCTGCAGCCACCTCCTTTAGGGAGCCTTGGCCACAGCGGATGGGTAGATTCAGAGAGGCGTATGCCATTATGTCAGGGTCAGGCATGGCCACCTCTCAACACCTCCAAACATGACTGGGGTGATCTGGGTTAGTTGCATGATATTTCCGAAGTGCAAAGTCACGATTAAAAGCCCAATTCCCATTAGTGACAGTCAGAGCTAACCAAGCACTTTAGAAATATAAGCCTTAAATTATATGAAGTGAATTGCTCCTCAGCACTTAAGCTAAAAGTCTCCCAGTCTGATCAGGGCTATGCAGGTCATCGGGAAGTACAGAGGTGAAAAACAACACAAAGGAGCACTGACCGCATTCACGGGGAAAGGTGAGAGCAACCAGAGATTGTTCCCCCTCCATCTGTACTATGGCCTGTAAAAGCATTAATATAATTAGCATTTTACAGGGGCAGACCAAAAGGTGATTACTGTCAAATTCCATTATACATGGTACCACGGGGGCAGGGTTAGAAAACGAATCGTACACAGAGCTAGCTTCAAACAACAATGGCTGTTCTCTTGTGGTCCGGCTTTAAGGGTCGCCAAGGTCTCCTAATCCATCCACAGCCATAATCTTCACCCATTTGCAGTACCAGATAATGGAAGGTCACGTTGAAATAAGAGTGGAGGCTTGGCAAACACCACAGGTAAAGAAGTCAGTGTTTTTCCTCCGTCACACTGCAGCCGTATGACTCAAGACTCTGATTCGCTCTGGGCCCGCTAATGAAACAGTAAGGAAGTCGGATTTGGCACTGTGGGGTTATCACACAACAATGGATTATATTAATGAGGTTGCCAAATGAGAAGCTTCTGACAAGAGCCTTAATAGAGCCTTGAAACTGAAAAGCAGGAATAAGCAGTGTTAAAAAAAAGCCTACGGATTGCAGCCGTCATCCATTTTGAATAACCTGGGAAAAAGGCAGGGGGTGCTGGGAATTGTTTAATCCCGACTATTTGTGCTCAGACTCTAATACAGACAGGCCATGGGCAGAAGAATGTCCTATTGCCTCAATAGGATTTCTTTCTAAGTCTTATTTCTATGTGCCATTACTCTGCATCTCACTAATTGCAAAGAGCCTTTCCTTTTCAAGTGCCTGGCCACTGAACACAAATCATTTGAATTTTCAGTGCTGTCACAAAACACTTTGAGGTTTCCCTGTAGACGCTCCAGGCTCACCAGCATTGAGGGTACCAGTGTCAACTTACTGAAAGCCAACAACAAGGATCCTTGTCACAAACTCGTTTCATCGTGTCTGGTTTTTCCTAGTGATGACAGACCCAGGAGAGAGTGCATAAGAGGTTGTTTTTTTCTTTTTGAGGGAGGGAAAAAGCAATGAGCCATTGTACTACTGGGAGCACAAAGCAGCTTCTTATCAAAACTTAGCTAAAACTGTCCATGAATACAAGAAAAATTGCATGGAACAAATTAAACCAGACTTGTACACAGCTTGCTGTGCCCAACCTAATGCCTACGATGGAAAAGAGAAGGGGGAGATCCATCAGATATGGTTTTTCAATCAGAAACAGGCTGGAAGGAGGAGTGTTGAAAATTTGATTAAAAGAAGCACACATGGATGTATGTGTGAGCACACATGTCCTTGGTCCATATCTACTGGATGACTATGGACTGAACAATGGGAAAATATATACTGTACGTCACAGGTTTTCCATAGACATGCAAGCTTTCATTTGCTTCTTGCCATGAAAAGCATAAAGGCATGTAACTGCTTGAAGACACTATTCTCAGAACAAAGTCTCCTGCGTCGCTGTACGTGTTAGGGCTGGGGACTGTGACTAGATGCAGGAACTGAAAGTGATAACACAAATAATTCTGTTTCAAAATTGCATATAAACATTTGAGCACATATTTGTCTATAAAATCATCATCTGCAGTTGCTTCCTTATGGGAAAGGAACAGTTGTTTTTCATTGAAAGCTGGTTGGTGATGGGTTAGGAAATGGAGCTTTTACATCTTATAAAATCCTTTACAGCCCCTTGCTGAGCACTTGTAACATGCATTTTCTTTGCAGCATATGCTGGGCCTCCTAGCTTGTGGCACCAGCTGGCTTTGGGAATAAGCTGGCAGCTTACTTTTAAAGGTTCTTTCTCTGATGCGTCCCCAACATTATCACTGGTCTTGTACTTGCGCTCTTTGTCCCGGTGGTCGATGGTGGAGTAGCCATCTGGGGAGGAATGACATGGCAGTCAGACAACAGCAATCCCAACGGCAATAACCTTTGCAGATCAGAAACACAAGACATCAAAATCAAAACATGGGGGGGGGGGGGGGGGTATTCAATGTGGGCTGTGGCCCTGAAACTTTTTTTGTACCAGCTTCCCTGAAAACAATAACTCCATTTTCTAATAGCACATCAATATCAAGGACTGGTCCTGCATTAACAAGCAGCACTGTTTTCATTCTGGTCTGCTGCAGTTCAGTAGTAGCCTGCCCAAGGAAAGGAACAAGCTATTTCACACCCTGTAGCTAACAAGTTCCAAATCCAGAGAAAAATCTTATGTTTTTAGCTTAGTGACTTGATTAATTGGCTGTGTTCATACGCTGGGGGGTGTGAAACACGTTCCCACTCTTTCTGAACTTGACTACAAGCAAGACATGACAATAATTTAGAAAAAGTCCCCTTTGGAGCTGTGAAGAAAAGGGGCTGGTAGAGCTGCGGATCTGGAAGCAAACCCTGCGGTGCTGGGCTTGCCTCTCATTACAAAGTGGCGCCTTCTGGTGATTTTTCTCCTTGGCAATTGAGCAGCAAGATGAATTCAGTATTTAAGACAGAAAGAAGGTTGGGGAGGGCTTTCCAAAGAAACATTTTAATTATTTCAGAACCTGCCTGACACCAAATAATCATCAGGGGTTGCAAATATTAATTTGTTTTCCTGATGCATCAAGTTTCTGTTGTTATCAGTGACAAATAGATCTTCCTTCCAACTTTGACAGCATTGTAATCTGGATCAAGCAGCAGTCAGATTTATGGGCTATAGTAAAGCTTTTGTCTCTCTCCAGGTAATTAAGGTATCATTATTGGTTTTACTTCCTGTCAAACCATCTTCTCTGAACTCCACAAAAAAAGATTTTTTACAGAAAGCGCCAGAAGATCTCGTCTCTCAGCTTCTTGCCTCTATACAAGAAGTTCTCTAAAGATGAATCAGTCAGTAAAGCTTTCTTTTTGTGGCAATATAGAAAATGAGCCATTCTAAGCAAACAGCATGAAAAGCGAGACAAACTGAGTGACCTGTACCATGTATGTTCTGCACAGCAGTGGCCTTCAAAAAGGGTGGGAAGGGTGCAATCCAGTAAGTTCACAAGACAACCTAAGTCTTCATATTTGGCACAGTAGATCAAAACATGCCTGGGCCTGGCAAAAGGCTTTTGAGGTGGTCCATATGGTTATGAAGAGAATATAACATCAAGGAGAGGATCCGTAATGACGCTGATGAAAATGGCTGAAATTGTGCATCTCGGTTATGGATATAGTCGTAGCTTGAGACCTACTGCTATATACAGCTTAGCTTCTCTACTCCCAGCTATTTGTTGACAATGAAGATATCTAACATTCCTGACTGTCCCAGTAAGACCAAAAAATAAATTGCAGACACAGACTCTCCACCCAGTCAACATTTCTGATGGTGTTTACAGTACATCTTTCACTTCCAAATTACACTCAGATATACTTGCTGGTAAATCATATGCTGACATTAAGACTTTATCATTCCTTTGGGACTCAAAGGCATGAACAGCTACACAGTTAAATTATGATAAAAGCAGGCTGCCCGGCAAAAAGTCAAATCCCAATGTCAACTAAGCAACATCCATTTCCTTTTAAAAATGACTCATTTAATTTACATTTGCATAAAATAGTACATGCAGATTTGTGTATTGCCTTTCGCCAGGAATGATCCCAAAGCACTTTAGAAACAAACTAACACAGAAAGGGAAGCTTATGCCTGGCCCTGAAATGCAACCAGCATTGAAGAGCTGCGCGCCAACTCTTTAACGCTTCATAGCAGCACAGATCAGGAGGCAAAGAATATCACTGCAAGTAACTGGAGACACAGTGTTCATTTTAAATAGCCTTAACCACTGCTTACTCACCAACTTAGCAAACCTAACATTGAGCAAAGTTCCAGGAATCTTGAGTGATAAAAAACCCCCAAGAACTTGGTTTTCATATCTAAGCCAGGAGGCATTTTGCAACTCCTACCGTCACCCTCAGCATGATGTGGTCTGCATGCTAACGGTGCCACACACGTCAGTGTTATTGGATTGTGTCCTGCTAGATACCTTACACTGTGCTGGGCTGGTATTAAGCAAGGGCAGACTGGGCTAGGAAGTTTGTGGCTTGAGTCACTAAAATAAGATAAATATTTTGCAGGAGGCTGTACCAGCAAAGTAAGACCTCACTGGGCAGAAGGCAATATGATGGAATTTGCAAATCTGGGTCTCTCCCTGTTTCCCGTTTAATTCTAAAAATCCAACTTAATTCCTGAGAAGGAACCTGAAGTGTGTCTTAGGGCTTGTTTTTGCAAGCAAGGGAATTCAGATTAAGGCAGGATGTAAACTTAAAACCCAGTAACTATTCCTGAGTCACGCCCTAGGTGGGCCCTCTTATTTAAGAATAAAAGCATTTTATTCCAAACTAATTCAATCCACTTCGGAATACACGAGTCTTCTTGTTTCATTGCTAATCCAGCTTGCTTTATTTCTTTGCACCTTATTACTTCTTCCCTCATGACACATATAGCTTTCTTGAATGCTTCTCACTCTGTCTGTAGTGAGATTGCTTTACCTCCACATATTAAGCACCTGAGAGGCCCTCCACTATCACCTTGCATGTCCCCACTTCCCTTATCAAATTCAGCTTGTACACCAATTGCTCTCATCTTTTTCTTGGACATAAATTCTTTCCTTGAAGCAGGTCATTATCACATCCACACGCAATACGTTTATAGCCTTTAGCAGTCAACATTGACTCTACTTTTAATGGATGACAGCGCAGCCAACCTGGTTCCTGACTAGACCCCCTGGTGAAATCCATGTAAAACTGGACATGCCCTTGTGAGAGAATCAGGCTCTGCACGTGGGCCAATATTACTCATTTGGCTTCCACATTCACATCCGAACTTTGCAATCAGCTTTCTCACTGTCAAAATGACACTATAACCCAGAACCTTGTCTATAATGCCATCTAACTGAGGATAAAGCTTGTCCTTCTTTCCCCATTTATTGATGATCACAGTTATACAAGGCTTCCTGTAGGCAGTAGTAAATCTTGCTGTGACAACCTGCCCAGACACTGTCTCACCGAGGTAAACTGTGTGCTTACTATAGCAATCCCATCCTTATGCTTCAGAGTAAAAAAAAAAAAAAGAGTATAGTTTCCAACTATCACCTTTCTTGTGCACTGCGTACATGGACAGCAATGTGCAATTTCCTTGACTCCTTGGCTAACAGCTGAGTCTGGCCTGGAGCAAACAGAGTCCTAACACTCCAATTCACAATACGTGTAATATGTTCAGCTGTTACCTGAAATCAGTGACCATTTCCATTTGTTGGGCTTGACAGGCCTGGACTGATATCTGATGAAATCAATGAAACAAGAGCATAACAGGAAGACTGTGAACAAGTCAACACTGCGGGCAAAGTGGATGAATTAGAGGCATTAAGCATAGCCATAAAGAAATTATGAAGATGGGATAAGCAAAAGCTTTGGAAGGAAGAGGGTCAATTAGAGAATGCATCAAGAAAGCAAATTATGAAGACAATACACCAAAAGTGAAGTTGTCTGGAAACATGCTGTGGCCAAAAATACAAGCAGGAAAAAAAGGCTACAGGTAAACTGACAACACATACTGAAGGAGTGAGGGAAACCTGGAAGGAGTACCATATTTTCTTGCATATAACACATCCCCCAAATAGACGCACACCCTATTTTTGGAAGGTCCCAAAAGGAAGGGAGGGGTAGCAGTGTTCCAGAGCCACATTAATTAATACAGCCACTGCTCCCCCTTGAAAATTTCTGGACCTATGGGGAGCCCTTTTCTTCAGATATAATGCACATCCCTATTTTCTCCAGCTGGTTTTGGAGGGCAAAGATGTGAGTTATATGTGCGAAAACATGGTATTTTGACTGTGCATTAAACCCAAGGTGCCCTCCTAATGCAAGCATTTTTAACATGCAATATGTCAGGGGAGCTTGCAGGGTAGATTGATATCAGCACTGACTTAAAATCAGAAGAAAAAAATGGAAAGAGCAGGGAAGAAATTAAAAATAGGAGAGCTGCAGGTATAGATTACACAGGGGATGAGTTGTTAAAAGTTGTCAGGAAAAGGGCCAACAAGACATCAGGAAAAAATATACAAGAGGGTATGGGGCGTACGGGAAATACCACATGACTAGTCACAGACACCAGTGGTATTAACTTTCAGAAAAGGAAATCTTACCAATCAGAATAATTAGAGATACAAAATTACTGCAAGTATGGAGAAAAATCATGATAATGTTAACTGTCAATGGATTAAGCCATTTTTGTGGGAAGTAGTGAATAAGGAACAATGCTGGCTTCAAACCAGCCTGACACTGTATGGATCAGAGATCTAAGCTCTGGTGATTAATGAAAAAAATAAGAAAGGGGATTTAAAGATGTTTGGGGGTTTTTTTCCACTGACGTGACAGAGGCATTTGAATCAGCTTGAAGGGAAGCATTATGGAAGGTAGCAAAATTATATGGCATTCAGCTAGGGTAATGGCATTTCTAAACGTTATATACAAGGATTCTGACAATGCAGTAAAAGTTGGTGGAAAATTAAGTAACAGGTTTGAGTTAAAGTTTGGTGTAAGGTAGGGGGATCTAGAAGCACTGGTAATATTCATCATGTTCTGAAACAGGGTATTAAGAACACAATAGTTGGAGGGAGACATCAGATGATCTAGAGGTAAGCCCTTTAGCTTGTGCAGATGACATTGCACAACTGGCAGACATGTCTGAATGAATAATGATGCTCTTCCCTACCTTGCAAAACTAATACATTCAACTTGGCTTTACATTAAATGCCAAGGTGACAAAGCAGTTGCATCTTGAAAAAAACACAATAGATAAAGTGTGGGAAGGCAGCAATAGTGAAGCTGTAGAATAAGCTGGATACTTGGAAAACTTGATCAGGATGGTTCTATCAAATGATAAAGTTAAAAAAGAGATGAGCATTAGCAGATGAAATTATGTACTGATCAAAGCGCTATATTTAGTATCAAAGGGCAAATTTAACAAGCTCATCTATTACTAGTATTATTTATGGACTCAAAGCAGCATCATTACATGAAATAGATATCAATAGCCCACAGGTAGCACAGGGGAGAGGTCTCTGAAAGACGATAGGTGTAAAGTGGAACAATTTTAAGACAAATGAATTTGAAAGGAGAAATCACATTTCAGGATTGGCTACAACTGAAAAGATCATGGTGAAGACACAGCAGATGACAAACACAACCAAGATCAGGCCGACCCAGAGACCAATTAGATGAATAAGCGTGGCATACACAGACATGATACAGCTGGGTATCATGGAGCTGGGTTTAATGGAGAAAACTCTGGAGAAGAATACATGATGGCTCTGAAACACTCCCAATGTCTGCCATGGTAGAAGGAGAATTAGAGGATAGAGTTAATCAAAATGGCTTTTCTTGAACAGGTCCCCCTGTAGAAAAGCCCTTAGGAATGTATAAACTATTAGGACTTTGGCTGGAAGAGCCTGAGGAAAGGCGAGTCCAACAGTCACTTGTTATGCCATTTTCATGGAGTGCAGCAGACCAAACCTGTTAGCGCGCTCCCTGTCAGTTGACCTTTTCAGGGTAGTCACGGGGAGATATAAGAATGCCTGAGCTGTTGGCCTTTGCTGATTTAAAAATATCCAAGAGCAGAAATCTGGAAAGCCTGTACCTGAGACCCTAGGGCCGCCTATACACGAGCAGCGAGGCTGCTGCGATGCATTGTAATTACAACACGGCGGACCAGACTCAATTCATTAAGTCTGCTGGAGTGTGGTGATTACCGTGCTCCAGCTGACTCCAGTGTCTCATGTATCGATGGCCCCGCACTGAAAACTGGTGGCGGGGTGCTCTAACTAAAGCTCATTCAACAAGCTTTAGTTAAAGTGACCCCGCTGTCATTTTTCAGCGTGGGGGCGCTGATACACAAGATGCTCCGGGTGCTTTAATTAGATCGGCTCTTGGAGCTAAACTAATTAAAGCGCCTTCCCCCCCCCCATTCCCAGAGCACATGTATAAATGCCCTAGTTTTCTATTGGTGGTGCAAAGATTTGAAAACAGAACCTGACAGGCAAGAAACACTTCTGACACTGCCCACCAACTTCCAGTTCGCCCTCCGCCATTCCAATAACCCCTGAAATACACTAAGCTGTGATTAATATTTTTCTCTGAACAGTTTATTACAATCCTGTGGCTACAGATCTGGGTTTCTCACTGCTAGACTAGTTAGTACATAGCTATCCTGTTGTGTGATGTTCTTTGATATTATTTTCTTCCATGGTGAAGACAAACATTTCTGTCTTCCCTTAAATAAGTACATACGGACAGTTTGTTCATGCCAGCTGAGATGTTGTCAGCAGAGGACATGAAAGGTGATATCTTTCTGTTATTCTAATGTTGTGGACAAGCTTGCTTTTCAGCAGGGGCTCAATCATATTGCCATTTTTGCAGGTACAATCACAGCTAGTAAGACATCAAATGCACAGATGTGTCAGTACAAAGATTTGCAGCTGGATAAATTGAAGCAGATCCTTCTTTTACTGGCAGAGTCTTTCACTTATCAATCTCAAAGTACTGCAAAGGAACAGGTATGTGTTTATCCCTAGTATACAGCTAGGAAATGGAGGTACAGACTGGTTAACAGTAATTCAATGGCAGAGCCAGGAATAAAACCCAGTCCTCCTGACTTCCAGCCCCATTTCCTTATATGCTAGCCCAACACAGCTTTCCATACAAGCACTGCAGCCTTCATCTTGAGGACTCTTGCCTCAGGTATGTATGTGAACAGAAAAACCTATAACTATTCTTGTTCCAGGGGAAGGTCAGGAGTCACAGGGTTTAAATCCCTGCTTTCTTTCAAATTCATGATGACAAGGAAGCACCTGAGGCTCTTAATTATCCTTCCTCTCCACCAGGGCCTTAGTACCTGAATCAAATCATTCTGACATCCATGCCAGGAAGTCTATCATCATCTGGGGAGAGATCATGTCTCACAGATTCAGCTTTGCTTCTTTCCTAAATAACATGAGTTTCTCCTGCTGCTGTTCCACATCTGAAAAATAGTGCAACGCCTGAACCACCCATCTGGTTTAAATTTATCTACCTCTTCACCCTTACAGCTTCATATGCTTGCATGCAAGGGTTGTATAATTCATGAGGTTTAAAAGAAATCTGTCACTTCAGATACTGGTGTGGGAGTTCCTGGTGCATTTACCAGTATCAGGGTGGAGGGTTTCAAAGCACTGGGTGCTACAAGCAAAGCAATTGGCTGTCCAGTTATAAATGCATGTTATACATGGATGCCTGCATTACTGAGATGGATTGAACGGGTTATGTTTGGTCTGCAGCATCTCGGTCTCCTTTGGTCTTTGCAGGTTTCAAATCCACAAGAGACCCTGGAGAAGTCTGCTGAAAGAAACCTGTTCCTGTACCTTCCTTGTAGGGGGGAAAATTAAGCTGCTTTGTTTGGCTCTTGAAAGATGCCCTTTATATTCAGCAGAGCTGAAGCATAAAGATGAGAAGTCATTGCTTCCTCATGGGCTAGGTTTTTTTTAACATGCCAGGAGGAACAGGGTTTATTTGTTCTCCTAATTTTTAATGTGCATTCATACAGGGCTAAATGTGTAATACTACACCCAGGCAAAATTCCCACTGGGGCAGGAGGAAGCATCTCAAGTTCTTTGAAGACCGTGGCCACTCGTTATTGAGCTGTAGTCTGGCACCCGTCCTGTCCCTCTGGGGGGAATTTTACTATCGTCCTACTTAAAGAAAAAAAAATCTTTCTTTTCTTGTTCTTTGAAGGACCCATCCAAGCTGCAGAGTGACAAACTCACTGTCAGCACTGGGGAAAGAGGGAAAATAGAAAGGAAAAGTAAAGAAACTTAAAAATAAACTATTCCTTTCTTCTCATTTCTTGCAGGTGGAGTTAACGTTGATGTTTCATTATCAGTCAAAGTGTGATATTCACATGGATTTAAAGTCAGCAAATTAGTGTCCCGCTTTTAAGAAAAAATACATTCTGTAAATCTCAGGACTTTTGGATGTCTCACTCCAGGATGCAATTGGTGAAATTCTATACAAGGCTGTAGTGCTTGTACAGAAAATTGTGTTGGGCTAGCATATAAGGAAATGGGGCTGGAAGTCAGGAGGATTGGGTTTTATTCCTGGCTTTGCCAAGATGTGAAAGAGCTGGAAATACCAGTGTATTTGCATTCTCTGGCTCAAGTAGTGGAGAAACCTGTGCGTGCACAATACACTCATGTTTAAGAAAAACAGACGATTGATCTTTTGGAAGGCAACGTTCTGCTTTTAAATGTCAGCTTTATCCACTTGAAAGAATATCTTCCAGAGAAAGAGCTGAACTTTCTCGTGAGTGACAGTATGCTCTATTGAAGCAGACAGAGGGTCGATCCATGACTGCATTTACCTGGACCAAGTTCATCCATAGGTATCATATCACGACTTCCAGCCTTCTCGTTATCTACAAAACAGAAGCATCAAAACTATTTGTACTGCGCTTGCTGGGAGGAATGCAGAGCAGGCTTGGATTAATCACAGGGCCAGAGGAAAGAGGGGAGCCCATAACTTACTGAATGCAAGAGGCTATAATGAAACAACATTTAAATTCTGTTTATTCAGGAAGCAAGGTTCTGCTGCAAGGAGCACTCAAGCTCACATGCCTTGTGCTACGGTGCCGTGACACGTACTGGGACATTCCCCTATTCCAGCAGCATCGTGTCTGCTCTGGACTGGGATAAGTTTTCTGGAGTTTATTTTTATATTTGGCCAAAATGGAATGAGATTCTCTCCTCTGCCCAGAGAGAGGAGCAATCAGGAGGACATACAGGGTTTTGAGAGGATAATTTTCATATTGGTTCCTATCTCCAACACGATCAACAATACAAGACAAAGGAGGTGAACACGGAACTGACCACGGCCTGCAGCCAGAACACCTTGGGAGTGGTTCTGTCAGATCTGACCACCTACGCACAGATGAGTCTGAGCCAGTACTTGGATAAGAGACCTCCAAGGACAACTCAAGTGACAGAGGATACAGTGCTGGTGACTCAGTGAAGACTTTTTTTCAAACTCAGTACTGAACCAGTGTTTCAACTGCACTGGAGCGGTGAAGGTGATTTCTTCAGCAGG